GAGGTTGCTGTGAGCTAGGCTGACGCCACGGCACTCTGGCCCGGGCAACACAGTGAGACTCTGTCTCAAAAAAAAAAAAAAAATAATGACAAGCAATGAAGCACTATGTTAAAATAAAATCAGTAGAACAGAAGATAAACATAAGAAATACAAGCAGAGAATTATAAAACTAAACAGTTGAAAAGAATTAAGAGAAAATTCCAAGCATAGGTGCATTTTTCTAAGAAAAATAAATAAAATTAAAAAGAAATTGATGGAGAACATAGCATAAAAATAAAACTTACACAGAAATTGTTCTCAAAAAAGTACTAAAGTAAACTAAGAGTACTTGTAAAAATGTTTAAATAATATCTATGCATTTCCAGAATAGATGAGCAAATCTTAGATTTTACAAATATTTCAAACCAAAAGCAGGTTATATTCTACAGCTATAGAAATTTGATTAAAAATTAGTTTTGTTTTCTTGTTGATAATATATTAGATTTAAAATGTCCTGGCTTCACTTTTTTTTTCAAATGTGGCTCCTATTACAGTGTAGACACGTGTGTAGACACAGGAGATATTCTGTAATTACATGTCATATATCACCCACATTCCTATGTATTTTATAGGTACCTCTGAAGGAACTGCTGAACGAAACTGAAGAAGAAATTAATAAAGCTCTAAACAAAAAAATGGGTTTGGAGGATACTTTAGAACAAGTAAGTAATGAAACATACAGTCATTAAAAGCAAAAATAAGATTTTTAAAACCTAATATTGAATGTGATTTGTGGTTTCTGATTGCTAAGGAATTAATTTTGTAATAAAATTATGGGAAAATGAAAGTTGGGTATATCCTTGCCAGAAATATTTGAAGTAACTTGTTAAGTACTATAAACATCCTAGGTTTTATATGTCACTTATGATGAAGTGATATGAAACTAAGTAAATTTCCCTTTTTTTTCCATAGAGAATTGCCTCTTTAACTTGAGATAATTTAATATCCCTTTTTATACTAAAAGATTTGGGGTGGCTATATTATAGGTAGACATGTATTATTTGGGGTTAGAGGCTAACTAGCTGTGATAGATTAAGAGGTTTCTGTTTACCAAGCTTTTCATTCTGGATCATGGAATTTAAGGAGAACTCAAACTTAAATGCCTATAGAAGTCATATTTCTAAAAATAAATTTCATATAGTTCCTACTTTTGAGATCCTTAAAACATAATATCACCTATTATCGTATTCAGTAACCTTTAAAGTAAACATTGTTAGTTGATTAAAAAAAATTAAGCTACTTCTCAAACACACACACAAAGGATATTGTTTATAGGACACCAGACAATTAAAGGAAACCCCTTGCTAATTCAGCTCTTCAAGAACTAGTGTGATCTAGCTAACAGATTTCAAGATATAAAATGAAATCCTATCTTTTCTCAAAATAGAAGCTTGTTTATTTTTTCTCATCTGGAAACAAAACCTATGTCCTTTCACAAGTAATTGTGCTAGTAACCCACAGAAAGACATTTTTTTAATGTCTTTCATTATCTATCAACATTTACTTTGTATTAGGAAGAATTTTCCATTCCTCAGAAAAATAGAAAAATTCGTAACATTAGATAAGAGTAAGTAGTTTCATCATACTGCTGTTATAGTAATGTGGGGCTTCTGAAATATCTATGGAAAGAAGATGAGGAACTAAGACGGCTCCCTTGGTAGACAATTTTTTAAGGTGAAGTCTTCCTTTAGCCTGCTTCAATTTGATTTCTCTTTTTTGTTGGAATGGGCACTAAACCTGGAAATTCTCAAAAAGGTGTGAATTCCAAAAAGTAGGGACCTCGTGGCTGAAACATCTTTCAGACTGACTTCAACTTTTTAAAGGCTATTAGCAGGAAAACTTGGGGAAAAATTATTAAATGCCTACTATAGACTAGGCCCCATGTTAGCCTTCTAAAGATAAATACATCCTGCAGGGACTCCTATTTAGAGAAAAAGGCTAACATATATGCAGTTGTGCTAATCAGATTTTCATTTTTGCAAGGTATAGGAAAACATGGCTTAGAGAGAACGCAACTAAAAATGTTAGGAAATTAAACTAACTTATAGTAGAAATAGAGGGTAGGGAACAGGTTTAGTAAATGTTAAGAAGGTAGAAACCAAAGATTGTATGGCTCAATGTACAAGTTTGGAGAGAAAGAAGTATCAACAATGACTTCCAGATTTCTGGTGTGAACAACTGAGTGCTGTTAACCTAGAGAAGGAAAAATGAGAGCAGGGAGTGACCAAGAGTGCTGGAGATGTTGAGTTTGCTGTCTGTGGGACATCCAAGAGGAAGTTGAAGCTATAGAATCAGTGTAGGAACGAGGTAAGGACAGAAAAATACAGATTTAAGGGACTTTAGCACATATGTGTTAGTTTAATCCTTGGATATGGATGATATTTCTTACAGGGAGAATATGGAGAGGAAAGTGGTAGATGATTGAATCCTAAGAAATAACAATATTTAAGGATTGGCAAAGCAAAGGGATTCTGGGAAAAATACTTTGAAAAAATGGGCAAAATAGTGGAGAACAATCAGAAGTTGTTATACTATAGAAACCAAAGTAAGAAAGACTTTTCAAGAAGGGAGTGATCAATAATGTCGGATGCTACAGAGACTGAAGACTAAAGCTATTTTTTTCTGTTTGACAAGGAGTTTAACCAAGTTAAGATGGCACAGGATAAAATAGCAATTGGAAATAATAAAGGTTATACCAACATTAATAAATTTAGAGTAACAAAACTAAACAATCTGAGAAGTATTAAAAATAATTGCTAAAACCATTGAAGAAAAAGCAGGAAAATATAAAATGGGAAATGGATACTCTATGGTGGGAATTTGTTTGAATTATGAAGTAATATGGTGTAAACAAAAATCAATCTTTAAAAAAATTTAATGAAATAGATCATAATCTGAACAATACAAATCTCAAAATTGACTCAAAAAGTCAAAATAAGTAACCAGAAACAAAGTAAATAAAGAATTTGCTCTCCAAAAAGACTCTAATAATAAATGATTTCACAGGTTGTTTTCAGATATTAATTGTCGTAGAGTGTAAAGAGACCTAATTCATTTATTTATAAGACTAGTGGAATCCTCTTACCACAACATGACAAAGACATCACAAAAGAATAAATTAAATCAGTCACACTTATGAGTATAAATGTAAAGCTAAAAATTTGTAACCGAAATTTATTCAGGAAATATTTTTTGAGTGCCTATGTGCCTAGTACTGTAATAGGCAGCATCTGTTTGTGAACTCCATTTTGAATGAGAAGACAAGCATGAAAACTATTTCTTCTATCATAACGCTTTTATAGTATGAATACAGCATGCTGCGAAGTCTCATAATAAACCTAACTAAGTACAGGATCTTTTCTGAGCAAAGCGGTAGCTGGAGCTGAGTTGTGAATAACAAGTAGGAGTTGGCCAGTGGATACATAGAAGGATGCTCACGAGCACACATGCATCTCACACGCACACACACACACCCTGCCCCACCCCTTAAGGCCCAGAGTCCAAAGAACACAACATGTTAATGAATTACTGAGAGTATGGGATAAGGGAAAAGCCTGAAGAAACAAGAACCTAATTATTAAGGGGTATTTACTGGTTGAATTTTTATTCTTTAGGCAGTTAGGACCATTGAAGATTTTCAAGTAAGGAAATAACAATAATCACCTATGTGTTTTAGTAAAGTCACATTGTTGGCTTTTGAAGAATAGATTAGAGATGCATGAGACTAGAGACACACAATTAAGAGACCTAACAGTATCCTGTACAGTAAATCAATGGTAGGACCCAAACCAAGGCTATTGCAATAGAGTTGGAGAAAAGAGATTTAAAGATGGAAACAACAATTTAGTTGTCCATTTGGATGAGAAAGTTAAGAAAGAAATCAGGAATGTCCAAGTGTCTTGTCTTTGGCAGAAGGCTATGTGGTTATGTTCTTTACTTTGATAAAGAGTACAACAGGGGGGTATAGAAGAGAGAATATGCTGAGTTTCAGGTCTCTGGGGCATCAAAGTAAAGAATGTCTAGCAGGCAGTTGGAGTCCGGAGATACATAGATACACATATTTCTTAGCATGCAGGTAGTTAAAGCCAGGAGAACTCCCAGAGGGGAAAGTGAGAAAGCACCTTCCCAAGTGAGCAAGTGAGAATACCGCCAAGATCAGAATCCTAGGAGAACATCCACTTTCAAAGTATAAGCAGAGAAAGAAACCTACAAGGAAGATTAAGAAGGACCTCCCAAGGCTTAAAGAAGAAACCAGGAGATTCTGTGGTGTTCGAAATCAAGAAAGGGGCTTTCAGAAGGGAGTGATTAGCAACCATAAATGTTACTCAGATGTTAAATAAGATTAAGTTTGAAAGTTGTCCATTGGTTTTAACAATTAAGATGTTACTGGTAACATTTGTGAAGTGGTTTCATGAAGCAAAGGAGCCAGAAACCACATTACTGTGCATTGAAGTTTGAATGGTAGAAAGGAAGATACGATAGTATGAATAGACTACTCTTCGAGGGCTACTATAAATTAGACTACTACAAATATTTGAGTCTGAGAAAAGGAGATAGAACGGTAGTTAAGGCTGTGTAAGAAAGAGTTTTGGTTTTTGTGGTTTTGGTTTGGTTTTGGCAGGGGAGGGGGTTATTTGGTTTTAAAGATGAGAGAGGGAGTACAAGGTAAAGAGGGTAAGTTTTAAAATTAGGCATAAAAGATATTGGTGGATTAGAATTCAGTCCATGAAGAAATATGAAGGTCTAGGATCCACTGAAGAGCTAGAGGGGTTAGTTCTCATCGTGAGGAGAGTGAGTGCCCAGCATCCTGAAACTGACTGTAAGGAAGAAGGAAAAGCCTCATACAAATATGTTGGTTGGCTGGGCATGGTGGCTCATGCCTGTAATCCTAGCACTCTGGGAGGCTGAGGCTGGAGGATCACTTGAGCTTAGGAGTTCAAGACCAGCCTGAGCAAGCACAAGACCTCCGTCTCTACTAAAAATGGAAAACTTAGCTGGGCACAGTGGCGTGTGCCTGTAGTGCCAGCTACTCAGGAAGCTGAGGCAGGAGGATCGCTTCAGCCCAGGAGTTTGAGGTTATAGTGAGCTATGGTGACGCCACTGCACTCTAGCCAAGGTGACAGAATAGGACTCTGTTTCAAAAACATATGTATATATATGTTGGTTGGTTGGAGACAGGAAGTGATGAAATTCCAACCCGGTGGCTTCTGTCCATGATAGAAATAAAAATCATGTAACTGAAGTAGAGTTGTCCCTCGGTATCCGTGGGGGATTGGTTCCAGGACCTCCTACAATTACCAAGATCCTAGGATGTTCAAGTCCCTTATATAAAGTGATTTAACACAGTTATCTGTCACTTAAGTACAGAGTTATGTTCTGATAAATGTGTCATTAGGCAATTTTTGTTGTTGTGTGAACATGATAGAGTATACCTAGATGGCATAGCCTACCAGACACCTAGACTATATGGTATAGCCTATTGCTCCTAGGCTACAAATTTGTACAGTATGTTCCTGTACAGAATACTGTAAGCAACTGTAACACAGTGGTGTTTGTATAGCTAACCCTATCTAAACATAGAAAAAGTGAAATAAAAATATGGTATAAAAGGTGAAAAATGGTACCCTTATATAGGGCACTTAACATGCATGGAGTTTGCAGGACTGGAAGTTGCTCTGGGTAAGTCAGTGAGTGAATGGTGAGTGAATGTGAAGGCCTCAGACATTACTGTGCACTTATTTATTTAAAAGTTTATTGTAAAAATTTTATAAAATTAATTTTAACATTTTCTTTTTTCAGTAATAAATTAACCTTAGCTTACTGTAACTTTTACTTTTTTAACTTTTTTTGTTAAAAACTAAGACAAAAACACACACATTAGCCTAGGCCTACATAGGGTCAGGATTATGAAGACTTCACTAGGCAATAGGGATTTTTAAACTCCATTATAAATTTATGAGACCACCATTAAAATATGTGGTCATAGTTGACCAAAATGTCATTATATAGCACATGACTGTATTTGCATATAATCTCTGCACATCCTACCATATACTTTAAATCATCCCTAGATTACTTATACTACCTAATACTATATAAATATTATGTAAGTATTAATTGGGTTTTATACTGCATTGTTTTGGGAATAATGACAAGAAAAATAAGTGTACATGTTTAGTACGATTTTTTTTTCTGAATATTTTCAGTGCACAGTTGATTGAATTCACTGATGTGGACCCCACAGATATAGTGGACCAACTGTAATTAGTGATATCTTCTTGGGTTATAGCAACTGACTATAACTATTGAATGAATGAATGAAAACAATACTGATGGAATTATGCCAAATATTTATAGTGATTCTTTTGGGGTTGCAGAATTATTGATGATTGTTATTTTCTTTATTTTTTCCCTTATTTACCACAATGGAAATGTGTATTTTTGGAATCAGAAAAAAATGTTTAAGTAATTGATGCAGCTTTAGTAATGCTGACATGGAATGTGGAAGCTGCTCAGAAATGAGTAAACATGGTTTTGACCAACCATGAGGAGCTAGTGGAAATTCTGGTTACTTGGGTGTCTGCTGTTCTTATGGCAGGTGAATTTAATGAAACAACTTACTTAACTTGTTAGTTACTTCAGAAATAACATATATTTAGGGGAAAGTCCTTTGAGTTAAAACATCTGGTTTTGAGTTCTGGGCATATGCTAGTTGTGTAATCCTGAGCTAATAATATTCTTTCCAGTCTATATTCTCACCTGTAAAATAGGAAAAGAACTTCCTTTAGAAAGAATATATGATAATTAAATGAGAAGTATAAGCAAGTTTCTTTAATAATTGTAGTAATTTCACTATCTTATCTTTTACCAAATAAATTTTTCCCAAAAAACCTATTTTTTTAATTTCTTATATGTGCAGAATCATCCTTTTAAAGAAAGATGTTAGCTATTCGTACTTTTTATTGTTTTCTGTTTCCTGCAGGAAACATTTTCCTTTTGGTCTAGCTAAAGAACATTCTGTATTAATTACTGGTGTGAACTGGAATCAGCACTTGCCAACAGGAAATGAGCTTTAGAAATACATTTTTTTCTTTAGTTTTGGTTTCAAC